TAGACTGATCGAATCTCTGTCCCTTCCAGTCCTTCACGGCTAGGCGAGAAGCGCCCTTCGCGTCAACAGATCCAACGGCACATGTGGATTGTGATCAGCTGATTTATTGAGGAAGAACGAAGTTTCCCCGGAAACCACCATGCATCGTTCAGTATTGCTGGTTTGATGTCCCCACGAGAACAATGCCTCGGAGGCATACATAGTGAGCGTCCGACGTTCATCCAAACACAGTGGCCATAAAAGAAGACAAATCGGACCACCGCATGGTAGACTCTACCCCTGACAGGCAGTCAGATATCACGTCGGCGCCACAAATGTCGGAGGTCAGCAAGCGCCCTCTCAATTCCAAAAGTGATTCCGCATTTGCCACTCCGCCGTGACTTATCCAGCTGTTCAGATAAACAAGATTTTCCACCACATTTATCAATGCACCTGCAAGTACGTGGTTTGGGTTCGACCCCACCCATTCTTGCAGGAGACTTCACAGGTAGGAAGAGCATACTCAACTCTGCAGCAGAATTATATAATTTCTTAAAATATTTTTCAATTGTTTGAGGTCTCGTCCAGGAAGAGCAATGTCATCTGCTTACTCAACGTAGCTAAACAAACATTCTAGTAGTATTACGACCCATGAGGTGTCAGAGGCACGTAAAGAAGATACAGGCAGCAAATCGATAATGAAGTCAGAGAGAAAGGGCGAAAGAGTATACCTTGTCTGAAACTCCTGGTTTTGATGAACTCAGGGAAAAATCTGCCGTACACAGGTATGTGTCTGCGGGGTGCACCACGCTGGATTTCCCTACATCAAATCAACATCAGTCCAAGCAAGTCCTGCAAAGTAAGGATTATGTTTAATTACGTTGTAACATTTGCGGGGCATTCCCTGAGAAAAGACCTTGTCAAAGCCCAGACACAGTTTATAAGTACAGACGTGTTATAACTGAATGTTTTTGATTCAGCTAGTATTCACAGGGTGTCTCTAAAATCGCGTCTGATGGTTCCAAGTTTCCTTTGGTAAAAGTTAAGTTTGCTAACTGGTTAACGCGATAAACTTGAGATCCTCTCTTGTCTCTTCGGCACACCACCACCATTCCATTCGAACTGCGTTCCGAATCATACAGCACTCAACGTCAGCTCACGAAACCTTGTTAGTGACTGCAAGACCCCGACTCAATGGCGATTTGAACCTGCACGTTCAAACTAGCCGCATTTGCGTCCAGGTTTGTGCACCATGGAAAAGTGCGGACATGTCTCGAAGGTTCCGCTTTTTTGCAAAGCAGTACCAAAACCTAGACGCGTCATCTTCGTTATTGAGCCTGAAAAACTGCAGACCGAATTGCATCTAAAGAGACAAACTGCAATGGCCTTTACTTCTGTGCTTGAATATAACGCGGGTAAACTGATTTGTTTCCACTGTTTTCGAAGCCAAAAAAGAGTACTAGGAGCTGTAGGATGACCTATTAAATTCCAATATCATTCAGTCAACATCCAAAGCAACGAATGGAGATTTGTACAATCCGAACCGTACGGGAATTCCAGATACCAGTTCATAAACAGTGCACCCAATTCAAAGACAGTAGTCCCAGAATGAGAAAACAATATGCGTGTATCCCTGGCTTAAAATCTGGAGAGCAGTTTACGAAGCAAACTGTATTTTGTCATCATGATTGACATTTTTTTGCTGATTAGAGCCTTCAAGTAAGAATTTCATCATTCTACCAAAAACGCACAGAACGAATTACTCGCGAACTTTCACAGTGCTGTGACTTGCTGAACGGTCTTGCAACTCGGTATCGGTCCTTTGGCTTCCTGCCCCGCCCACTATGGTATATCAAAAAGCACCGCAGCTCCAGACAGCCCCTTAATGGAGGCAAAGGAAAATTATTGCAACTGTATTTATAGTGTGACCATAGAATGTTCCACAAGGTCGTGCTAGAATCTCCGTGAGGGGGCAAGAAGCGTCGAGCTAAAGATGTTCGATCCACTTTGGCTAGCATTCTGATCAATCAGTGCATGCCTGCACGTGACACATCCATCCGGATGGTGTGATGCTCGGGGCTGGCCTCCGGACATAGTGAGATTGGAGTTTGGGAGTATCATACATGTTCACACCCACCATAAGGGGGTTGGAATTCTCAAAAAGCATCCGCGGTGTGGAGAACAAGTTTGAAGTGCGTAGATTGTCACACGCGGTTGGCTACATACATACAGCTAAGGGCTTCATTACCAGATGTTAGAGTTCCTAGTATAACCCCTTTCATTTCCGTAGGTGTGGACTCATTCAGACCTCTGATTGTGTGAGAGCATGAAAATAATGCCCCGCGGTCACATGATATACTAGGAAGCCAATTTTCCCCCAATTAGCCCTGTGAGAACAACCATACTGGCTTTTAGAGGACCGTGCCAAACCTGGTTGATTGGGCTGATTGCCCAATGTCAAAAGACGCGATAATTCATCTACTTATTGCTGTTTAGTCTCTGTCACCGTGAAGTCTCTTATACAGACGTGTCTGCGCGAAACACAGTCTTGCCCACATTTGCCCACCTTTTGTTCCCATTACCCAAATGTGCAAGTGTGCCTTATTCTGTCAATGCCGCGTATGTTTATATTATTGCACGTTTACGGCTGAGGTCACATTTTCGTAAACCTCCGGATCACCAAAGGCTGCTTAGCAGCCCAGGGCTACTCACAGTGAGGGTCATATTTTAAGGATCGTTTAGTTTGTCGCATCCGAACTGGTCCTGGTGAAACCAACCACTGTGAGCGTGATGTGCCGACTACTGATGTCTGATTATGATGAAACATTCGCTCTTGTACTCCAGCAATGGTAACGACGGACGACATAAACGAATGGCACACAGCGCGTCTTGAGAGATGGGTTCTGAATGACTGATTTGAAGCTCTTTTGATCGTAATGAAAGCGGTCCGCAAACTTCTACTTAATCTTTCTATCTGATTGTTACCTCTTGAGTTGTATGAACTGGTTTGACCCAGTATAACCTCTATTTCATGAAGAAATTGCTCATTCTTATCATAGCTGAATGGTAATCTACTATCCGAATACCCAAAAATAGGTAGGCCAGATGTAGCGAGAGGTGGCACAAGGCGTGATATTACAGCGGACAAACATCTATCTGGACTCGGATTATCGACTCAATGGGATGATTGTTCAGCGGCAGCGCTCATTTGGTGCCCAGCTCCCATATCAACGGAAGAAGGCACGACGACTAGGATGCTGCCAGGGTGCCCAAGGCTAGACAGGAACATCCGAGATGCTGATGCTTGTTTCGAAACACGGACTTTCCTATCCGTAAGCTGAAACCCTAAGATTGAGCTATCTATGGCTCGGGTCGATAGAAGTGTCGATTTTCAAAAGGGTAACTCGCCTTGAACTTGGTAATCACATGCGTGTTAGCTTAGCTAACGTTTTTCCATGACCCATGGCGTTAATGATTCTTTGGCGTCTTACGGTGGAACGCGAATCTTTGATCCGTGAGCATCAAGTGGGTTTTTGCCCTGTTAGAGGCTGCACCGACCACATTTTCACACTCCGCCATGTGTTAGAGCAACGGCATATGTAGAGATGGTATTCCTTGACTTCAAGGGTTTCTTCTATTCTGACAGTCGGTCAGTGCTGTTAAGTGCACTTGCTCAGCACGGTATGCCCCAGAGGTTTATGAGCGTGATACGGTCCCCATATTTGCGTTCTTCTGCGCCTGTGAGCTTTCCAATGACTTCCGTACAAAAAGTATTGTCCGACAGCGATGTTCACTCTGACGATGATTTTCATGCTCAGAAAAAATTGGAAAGCATCTTTCACAAACCACTAGTGTTTGGGATAACTCAGTGATTGGGGCTTGGGCAACCGGGTGGTATCCTGGCCCTTGTGCTTCTTTTGGTGGAATGGTAGTTAGGCACCGAAGAAGCGCTACGTTTGAACGAGGGTTTGGGGCACAGACCTACTAGATGGAGGGTCCGTATTTCGATCTCAGCCTCAGCATTTTGAGTGCTCTTGTCCTTCCTTGGCAAACCATATTCAAAGAGAGCGCAAGAACATCGTGAGAAAGTTAACACGGCATCAGGTTTCTTGCGAACACGTGAGTCTGTGCGGGTGCAACACTTGCAAGGCTTGCAGGCTTTCCTGTTGAGATTTTGGTGGCTTCGAGATCTCAGTAGGTCTTTGGGTTGCTTTCAGGAGTTTGACCTTCCTGTTAGTTGACCGTTCAGCTCGCAGTCGCTCACTGGACCACGAAACTCTTTTCATACTCAAACCAAGTCACATTAAGCAGACTCATCGGACACTGATTGACCGTATCGTCTGGTGAGCGTAGCAACTACTCATGTGCTGACTCGCCCATGTGCACGCAAAAGAACCGGACACAGTTAGCACACACAAAACTGCGCGCGCAGGGAGCAAGGAGTCAGCCAAACACTCCGAGTCCACGGACAATTATGGAACACGTGTAGTGGCTATACTGTGAAGAAAACACGCTCACGCCGTCCGGACTTTCACCAAGGGACTCTCACATACGATAAGTTCCCTTTTGACTTGCTCCACATTTCGTATTGCCTTTATTTTATTCATGCTGTAAATCGCTTCTGTAATTTGATGTCGACCACAGTTAAGACTGTTATTGGTGCGTATACCGGAGTTGTATTACGGTCATCATGAACAGTGCACTAATAGGTTCACTTGAGGTGGCCGCGCCTATGATCTGATTTGAGTCTTGTGTTTGACGAAGCACACGACCCTGCGTCCACCGTGAAGAGCATTCCAAATATCCTCGAATCCGCATCTGGTCTCTGTGTGACTGTTGTGGCGTCCCTTCCACTGGCCGCCTTTTTTGGCTTTCCCGATAGCAATGGAACGATCCGCATGATTGCGACCGTAAGGTGGAGGGTTCGGACCGCAAGGCAAGCGTTGCAGGCTGCAGACAGCACTCACCAAGTTGAACTGAAGTGAGGAGGCTACCGCTGCCGGACACCAGAAGCTGAATAGTCGCTGTGTCGCGTATGCTCCACCTGGTCTCCGGTTTGGCTGTAACTGTGGCGACCACAAAATCACCAAGACGTGATGCTTCCGTGAACGTATGGGTGCCATTTGCAAACGGCACTGAGGGGTTTATCAAAGATTTGAAGCTCGTTAATCCAATCCAGGCCCAAGAGATCAGGGCCTGCATAGTTCGTGAGGTAGCATGCAGCACTGAGTTCAATCCTCTTGAACCTTGCAGAACAATTCAGCTTCCCGGCCAGTTTGAGGCTTCCACCAGTTGCACTACGAACGGTGCACTTTGTGGGTTCCACTGCTGGCCTTCCAATCACACCCCAGGTTCGTTTTAAAAATTAGAGTGAGATCAAAACCTGTATTCAGTTAGAGGGTAACTGGTGTGCCACTGAGACATAATGTGACGAATTTCTGTCTACCGAGTGGTTTCATCCTATGTATGGCGGTCATGGCCTTTGCCTGCGTCCATTTATCGTGTCGGTGTTTGTGCGAGTTCCTGAAGTTGCCTCCGCAACATTTTTCTTTGTAACCCTTTTGGCTGCATTTACTGCAATTGTGGATACGGTAGGGACAGTGGCTTGAATAGTGCCGTCCTTGGCAAAACCAACAGGGTGTAGAATTTGATCTCCTTTTTGGAATTACTTTGCATGCCATATCAGGTTGAGAGAATGTTCAATCATTACAGCATCAGTCTTGGGATTAATAAGATGCTGGCACTCGGTGGTAAGTTTCTGAAGCGTCAACTCTGGATCCTGTTCACATCTATTGAGGAGCCGGGTCCGAATACCCGCATCATGTAACGATTGAAGATCAGCCATGAAGATGAAACACTTGAATAATTCCGTGGTCATGGAGCTTAGCTGAAAGCGCTCGCATTTTCTGTCGGCCACATCGGCATAGGTGATGAAATCCCTTTTGGTAATATCGAGGCATCGATGACGAATACTGAGCAAGAAACTTTACTCACCGAATAGTTAGGTCAGGATTTTGACAGAATCTGCGAACTCAAGTTTACGGGGGAGTTTGGGGAGTATGAAACTTGTGAACTGATCATGTTTAGCTGTCCCCAGTTTCCGCAGCAAAATTCCATGCACCATAAAACTGAGCGGAGTCAGTTTGAAACATGTCCCCATATTTCTTGAATCAAATTTCGAAAGTTCGTCCAGATTCAGCATCGAAATTGAATTCAGTAATCGAGCTGGCTGCAGCATCTGTGGAAGAGGACGAGGTCCGAGTGTTTTTGTCGTATTCACACACATACTGCGCATCAGAGACTCAACAAGCTTCATTTGGGCTTCTTCAGACTGCTTCTGCTGCTGCTGTAAAATTATTTGGAGGTGCTCTACCGAAATTAATATCACGGGTTCCGGTTGTCTCCAGTTATTGTGACTTGCTGAGCGGTCTTGCAACTCTGCATCGGTCCTTTGGTTTCCTGGGACCAGGAGCGAAGCCAATCTCCAGCTCCATTTGGTTTCCACCAGGAGCGAAGCCAATCTCCAGCTCCACTCCGTCAAAAGCGGCCTCTCTGCTTGTGGACCCAACCGTCGCCCAGTACCTACCCCCCCAAAGCCACAAACATGACTACAGCCATCCGGAAAATCCCTCGTACATCCAGTTGGCCACGCTGATCGCTGGCGGATCGGGTGTGCACACAAACACGGAAGAAGAGCGACTGCAGCCAAAAAAGCCATATAAAACTCGCCATATTAGAAAACTGCTGGCTGGCTTCAAGGTGCAGTCCTCCGCGAAAACGAGCCTCTTAGGAGCGCCACCAAAATCATTACTTC